GAGTTTAGCCGAAGCTAAACGTAAACACAAATGTCACAAATGATGCAAAGCACATTTTGCTGCACCTTCTGTGTGAACATCCCTTGAGGTGAGGCAGGATGTTTTCCGTTTAGCTTTAAAGCCAGCCGGTCTTATCATCGTTAGAGACCAGTCTAAGAGCAAAGCGAAGGTCGTTACATGAACATACCAGCTCGTTAGTAAAACTGCAGCAGTCTGAATCGATGCCTGCTGGTGTGATGATGCTAACCTTCTTGGTAGCATCATGTGAGTGAATGTGTTGGGATTAGAATTCCTTTAAAATGAACAGGCTTATATCAAACATCTACACTTGAACCCTTTTAGATACCACCTCAGCACACATTGTTTTACATACTCCAGGTTTATTATCCCAGCAAGCTCTTAATGCTGTTCCAGAAGCTTTTTTTTTCGCCTCGCAAGAAATATTGAAGACTTGTTTTTGGCATAAGAGCAGGGTGCAAACTACAGGGGAGCCAGGGGGAGCTTGGCTCCTCTCAGACATGGGTTATGTAACCCTGCTGTCTTCATCAATCTGCTGAAGTGATGATAGGCTGTCATTCAGACGTAGATCATTTCTACATTAATGCTCCTCACAGCTTCATTCAGGAGAGACCAGTGCACAGCATTTGTCACACACGCGAGACCTAACAGCACATCAAGAGACGCACAACTCACAAAAACACACAAAAATAAATAAATCTAAAGTAAAAGCGAGTCTACTGAACATTCTGTCTGTGTGTGATGATAATTTGTCTACAGCAACTTAAAACGTGTTGTGGTTGTTATTTGGCAGCTTGTTCTTATATTTTGGTGTTTAGGTTGCTGACTGGCTCCTGTTGCATCTGTAGTTACAGGAAGTCTCTGTTGTAGCTAATTAATTCACAACAGCAAACATCCAGGTGTCAGACTGTGTGTAACAGGTCATTAGAGGAAAATATCTTCAATCAACGGATCAGAATTTACAAAAGAGTAAAATACAAGCGTCCCACAAGATGTGGAGGAGCTTTGGCCTCCAGCTGAGGACAGATGATTGACCTCCAGGCTGATGAACTGTGACTCTGTGTGACAGCTCACCTCAGTGATGATACGTCCTGATCAAGTCTGTCCACCTGTCACACATCATTTAATAACAGAGTGCACACACACGACTCTCTCGCTTTGGTGCTGCAGGTTCTTAATAAAGCCAGTGGAAAGACTCCTACACACAGCTGGAAGCAACCCACTGAACTTCACAGCTGCTGTTAGTCAGTCACTGGTGAGTCCTCTGACAGGCAGCTTACATTTTTATGGATATTTCATTTTGTGATAGATGTGAAATTGTAGATTAAAGAGAATGAGATTCAGGCACACAAACTCTAAAAATACTGACAGCGTGCTGTTTTTGTCGTCACCACTGAAGCCTGGTGGCGTCTTCTTTTAAAATTTAATTTAATTAAATTAGTATTAGTTTAGTATTTCCTGATACTAAACGTTGTAAAACAAATCAAAGAGCAAATGGGGCTGAAAACACAAAGCAACAGAT